CGAAAATAGAATAAAAACTTCAAAAACAGAACGATCCTTTCTAATTTAATGAAAAATCTGTTATTTTTTATTGTTTTCTGTGCATGAGTTCTATGCAGCTTGAAAAATAGTTCACTCGGGTCCCAAGGTAAAGAGACAAATTTGAGTTACATATGCTTCACAGGGCCCTGGGCTCAAAACTAGCATGAGTTAAATACACATGGCAGTTGATGTGTTAAATGCTAGGCTTATGCTATACTTCTATTTTGGGAGCGATAGAAACAATCTTTTAGTTTCACTCTGACATAAACCATGTTTATGATTGTTTAATATAGGAAGTCTTTAGTTATGATCAAAGCATGCTGTGAATAAAAATGGCATATGATCTATAACACTGACTGTTGTGATCAGGTTCCATTTAATGTTTTCAATGTGGTCAGTACATCTGGATTCCCATAATACTCTTTGCATACCTCTATTAGAACTTACCATGTTGCACGTGGTAACTATTGAGCTTCTTGTTTGTCTCTGGGGGCAGACTGAGAGCTCTTGAAAGACAGAAATAGTGACAGTAAGAACTAACATTTATTGTTCACTTACTGTGTGCCCAGGCACTGTGCTAGGTTGCATTACATGCATTATCTCATTTAATCTTCACAACAGCCCTATGAGGTAGGAACTGTTATTTTTACTGACAAGAAAACTGAGATGAGTGGTTAAGCAGCTAGCTCAAGGTCACACAGGTAATAAATAATAGAACCTAGATTTAAACATAGGAAGTCTTACTTGACCACTGTTATTCTACTTAAGTGGTTTTCTTTTTGTTGTTGTTTGTTCGTTTTGAGACAGAGTCTCACTCTGTTGCTTGGGCTAGAGTGCCCTGGTGTCAGCCTACTCACAGCAACCTCAAACTCCTGGGCTGAAGTGATCCTCCTACCTCAGTGTTCTAAGTAGCTGGGACTATAGGCACATGCTACCACGCCTGGCTAATTTTTTCTATTTTTAGTAGAGACAGGGATCTCACGCTTGCTCAGCCTGGTCTCAAACTCCTGAGCTCGAGCCATCCTCCCACCTCGGCCTCCCAGAGTGCTGGGATTACAGGTGTGAGCCACCTGGCTCAGCCTTTTATTTTTGTTTTTGTTTAATAGATGAGGTCTTGCTCTGTCACCCAGGCTGGAGTGCAGTGCCCTGATCATAGCTCACTGCAGCCTTGAAGTCCTGGGCTGGTATGATCCTCCTGTCTCAGCCTCCCAAGTAGCTGTGACTACAGGCATGTATCACCATGCCTGGCTAATTTTTCTTATTTTTGTGTAGAGATTGAGGGAGGGGGTATCTCACTATGTTGCTCAGTCTGGTCTCGAACCCCTGGCTTCAAGCCATCCTTACTTTTCTGCCTCCCAAAGTGCTGGGATTATAGTCATGAGCCACCTTGCCTGCCCAACATATTCTTTTCATGTTCTTTATTAATTTACTATGAAACTTTTGCTAATTTTGTACATTTTGATGATATTTGGCTTTCACTTGGCTGCATCTGGCTTGAAGGTGCCTCTTTGTCATATTAGCCTGTGATAAAAATTGTAAATGCAAATACAAAACTGGACCATGAAATCTTGTGGCAATATTAGGCTGTGAGATGGCAGGTTTTTATCCAAATGACCTAAAATATAGTTATAAATTATTTTTATGAATGTTTTCATTTATTCAAAAATCTCCATATTCTCTCTGCTACTATTTAGTCCATCTTTCTTTCCAGGATTACTGCTGTAGATTGATTTCAGTCTCTAATTTCCCCTGGGGGTCTGTTTCTTAATGCAAATTTATAGGGTCTCCTAGGTAGCCTTTGAAAGCCCCATTGCCCTTAGGCTCAAATTCAGACTTCTTTTTTTTTTTTGAGACAAAGTCTCACTCTGTTGCCCGGGCTAGAATGCTGTGG